GTACTTATTTACATACAATTTAAAGAATATTTATTTACTTATTAAGCACGTAGTTACGCACGCCTTCATCGTATACACATTCTACATAGTTTAGTATTAATACATTTATTTACGACAATTTTACAATAGTGGATACTTTTTTAATTGGTACTTACCTACTGTTCAATTCATACACGTTTTAATGAATTTCCTACGAATTGTAATTCACTGTTGTACAATGTACGAAATATTGACTTGTTTACGATAATTTTGAATAATAAGTACAATCACTGCACGCACTGCTGGCACATTTCACACATTTACAGGTAAGGTTCAAAATGCCGACCTCCATGCAATATGCATATTTCCGTGCGTCGGTACAGAGACTGCTCTACTCTTTGAAGCATCTGCCGAGTGATTTGACTAAATGCCATTTCGATCCGCTGCCTCATTTCTTCTGCGCTTTCACAGGACTCCGCATAAACAATATTTTTTATATGACCCCATAAAAAAAATCGAGCGGTGTCAAGTCTGGGGACCGCGCTGGCCAGGGTACAGGACCTCCCCGCCCAATCCACTGCGGGAAACGGTCGTTCAGATGGGAACATACATTTCGAGCAAAATGTGCGGGTGCTCCATCGTGCTGGAAAGTCATCCTGTGTTCCATCACGAGTCTCACGTATTGTGTCACTGGCAGGACCATTAGAACGTCCTCCAAGTCTTCTGTTAGGAATCTTAAATAATTGGCCCCATTCAGACTTGCCGGCAAAAACACTGGACCGATGACGGCACAACCTATTATACCAGCCCACACGTTAATCCGCCACTGGTGTTGAAAATAAAGAAACTTAACTTAAATGAAACTTAAAAAACAAATAATAATCATAACAAAAATAATCTGTGGTACTTGCTCTTAAATTCTAATTAAATTCTCTTAAGAAATCACAGCATTTTAGTCAAAATAGGAAGGAACTTAAAATTATTTGAAAGGTAAATTATCATAAAAAGTGTGGCAGTCTTTAGGTATGACATTCTTGAGCTCTTGAAGGTGATCATACTTTGTCTTGGAAAATGGTTGCCTGGATTCATAAAGCAAAGGCGCACTGTTAATCCAAGACGTAATCTTCTTTGGTCTTCTAGGCAATGGAACAAAATCGTCTGAAAACTGGAGTTTATAATCTATGGTGCCATTTGGATTATATCTCAGTGCTTTTATATCAATAACACAACGATCACCCGCTCCTCGACCAGGTCTTATTGATTCATAAATCAGGTAATGTAAATAAACTTGGTACTTTTCTGGTCTCCTTTGTTATTGTGGCGTAACGAGAGGGTAAAAATACTTCCCGATTTTTCAATTTCCTCTCAATCACCGAGTGGACTGAATCAACTTCCATCTGCGTATGACCTTTCTCCAAGTACTTCTGAGTTATTACTACGTTCTTAGACATAGCCAAACGCAACAAAGCATTCGATACAACATTATTTCTGTTCTGTGCTGTACAACCATCTGTAAATATAACGACGTCCTTGCAATCATTATCCAGTAATTTAGTTACGTAGTCCACGAAAAAAGATGCGTAAGTAGTGGTTTTTACGTCGCATGCTGTCTCATCGAACCAGTAACACGTGACTCCATTATTGCCAAGATTGTACACAGAAAAGTTATGCACGGCAAGTTTTGTTTTAAAATAAAGTGCACTGGCATTGAGAAATGGACATAGTTTGACGGCCTGAAGATCTATTGTTAATGCATGTATGATCCCTTTTTGTGCTAATTCTTTGTCAGAACGTTTTTCGGTCCTAGCTAAGTCTTTTCGTTCGATATGTTTAGCATACTGCTCATCTGATAAATTGCCAACTTTGTGAGCGCAGCACAGGTCGCAAGCATCCTTTTTTGGTTGAAACAATCCAATATTCTCCTCAAACAAAACGCTTTCAAATACTTTTCTAGATGCCACAGGTTTATTTTCTGAAGCCGAGTAGTCTACATAAAGGCGATACATACTCCTCCTCCTCCTCCTCCTCTTCCTCCTCCTCCTCCTCCTCCTCCTCTTCTTCTTCTTCTTCTTCTTCTTCACCACTATATTTATAACTTACACTCTACTATTTTCACGTCACAAGGGATTGTAAGAAGGTTTTGTTTGTTTGACTTGTCCAAATTTCTGGTTGCTATTTTCAGATTAGTTTCATATGTCACTGTCTATTTTATGTTGTGGAAAAGAAAAAAAAAATTGTCACTTCCAATCATGTACATTTCGTACATGTTTTTGTTGCCACTAACATGATGACTGTGTCGGGTGGCACTGGCTATAACCTTGTAAGCTTATTAAAACTTCGCAGAGCCGCTCCGGCGGCGGCAGTTGTTTGCTGTTGTTGTGCATGACCGGTCACACTGCGTTCACGGAGATAATTGTCAATGGCATAGTTTGTTCAGTTTTGTGTGAATATTGATGGGAAACTCAGGTAAATGTTTAATTTTCTCAAAGTGCAACCTTAACATAATGTGTTGTAAAGATATGCAAATAACTACATACGCAACGCAAATATATACAAAGTTCAAGGATTTTCATATAATCGAAACTCGAAATACGACATATCTTTACTAGTATATAAAAATATCTGACACGGGTATTATCTAAAAAGAAAATGGACAAATACGTCCAAAGAGTGTCATTACGAATATTTTTCGACATTTAAATGTGTCACTACGATGTTTTCCTTTAATCAGTTTACATAGTTCAGTTAGTTCGGTTAACTTAGTTCGTGAACTAAAACTTTTCTTACACTACCCAATTTCAAAGGCCCTTCCAAATTTGATGCAAAATAAATGTCAACATACTAAAACATGTGATTTTTAGAGTTTACACTTCGTACTGTTGTACAGTTATAACAATTTCAGTATCTTTGGGGAAGGATACTGGATAATTGGATTAGGCTATTGACCATACTAACTTTGAAGTCGTGTCTATGATGAATTTTGGTTCAATAGAAGTTTCAAAACCCTAGGAAGTGATTTGAAACCAATATAAAATTTGCCAGTACTTATTTTTTTTAAACTGTGTCATCCCTAATGATTTTTTGATTTCAAAGGAGAGGTTGCGATAATTTCATTAAACATTCTTGAGTAGCAGTAGCGCTCCTTGCTAAAGAGTTCGTCCATAGAAGTAATTTCAAGGGAGAGGTTGCGATCATTTCATTAAACATATTTGAGTAGCAGTAGCGCTCCTTATGAAAGAGTTCGTCCAGGGAAGTACTCCACCTTTCCTATTTCTGTCGTCTAGAAGTAATTTCAGTGCAATGGACTGTATCATAAAATTAACCCAATTGATGCTAGATTAGATATGCACAATAATTTAATGTTTGAGAAAATACATAGAAGCAGAAGCGTGTTATTTAAAAGATAAAAAATAATCAAAAATTTTTAAATCTGGCCTGCTATAGATTCCGTTAGTAAATATTGGCACGCGAAGGAAAAGTTTGCCCATACTGTAGTCTATAGAGTAAGTATAGGTAGGTAGGGCGCCGCTCTTATTAGTAAATCGCTAAGTAGGTAACCCTAACTCCCTAATTCTAATTACACTTCCCCAAAATTACAGTCAGGGTCCCTTGAATTCAGTAGTGTAATAAGCGTTTACGCTAACTTAGCTTCGTTCGCGGTGTGGCCTCTCCTTTAGTTTGATTTTGATTGCCTCTCCTGTTCGGAAACTGTGTCTTTTCCGAGTCGAGGCGTGTACTATTGCGGATGGGCTACCCGATTGGATCGGTCCCGATTTGAATTAAAATCCCAGAAGCGTTCTCCCAATCAGATATTGTTAAGATGCTACACGGTGTGCCAATACGTACTTGTATAATACAATAATAAATCGTTTCATTATTTAGTTGGGCTTCAGAATGGATTACATAAGCGGATGGTGCAAAAGCAAGCGGAGGCTTGAAGGCCTCACCGCGATTGTCACCGGTAGCAACACCGGAATCGGCAAGGAGACAGCGCTTGATTTTTACATGAGAGGTAAGGCACATGTATGCATGACGTTTCTTACAAAATAGGGTTTTTTTTCAACCAACCAACATTACGTAACAAAACATTCTTATCATTAAAAGAAACAACTTTTATTCTACAAATTCAAATTAATTTTATTTCCCAAAAAACAAATTACGCCTACCCCAGTGGGAAATAGGCGAGATATTAAGTTTAGTATGTTAGTTTTAGTATGTTTGTAACAAATTAGACTTCAAATTGTCAAGTTGTTATTAACACAACTCACCGCCGCAGTGATCAACTTTAACTTATTTATAATCATCGTTTGTTATATGCCTACTCGATGTTTATAATCAACTAATTTTAGGATAAATGTTGTCTAAACAAGTGGCTGCAAAAAACTTAGTATATCCACTAAAAATAGATTCTGAAGTTTTAGCAACTAATTCTAGTCGTTTATTCTTAAAATATACTACTAGAATTATTTGACTACAACTCGATAGTATTCTTCACAAATTGCAATCTTTGTATTGCTTAATACTTATTTTAACTTTTCAAATATAGGTACTCTATGTACTCGTAGAGCATACAATGGAATGAAAATGGTCTGTACATGCGAAAGCCGCTCAAACTCTATACAGGACAATAATAGCTAGGGGGCCGACATTATCGTCTGATATGACTGATGTGACTGTATCGATATATCAAGATTGAGGTAACTCAAAATTGTAGAATAGAGTAGTTTTATCTTCTGAGAAAGCCAGAGTTTCTTTGTTTGATGAGGACCGCTGCTGCAGAGTGATGAGACGATGTGGAGATCACGCTCTCGCGTAGGTGTCTGATTCGATCGAGGAGATTACGCCGTACGGTGTAGGGTCTGTTACGTTTTAGCTTTTTGGGCGGAAGTTCCGCCCATTTCCGAAAATTGTGTCAGAGATGCTGCTGCTTTCTTCATGGACGATAATGCTTGAACTTACCTAGCGGGTGAAATAGGTCCACGCTCACTTGGCGGAGGTCGGATTTCGTCGTTTCGGTTGGCCAGTACAAAGCAATCTAATTTTTTTTATGTTACCATGTGACGGGGCTAACAAGTCGTGCGCCTTGTGGTAAGCGACATATGTGTGATATTCAATCCCATTGAGTATATGTGGGACATTCCGAAACGGGGCGTTAAAGCTGTACACCCAGTTCCACAGCATATCCGAGAGTTTAAATTAGGGCCGAATAGTAACATATTCCCCAAGAAACTATAATAAATCACATTCAAAGCACGCCACGAAGAACTGCAGAAGCCGTCTCGGCAAGAGGAGGCTCTACTGAAAACTATTTTTTTTTCTATTTGTTTTTTAAATTTATTTATCCTTATAATGACATTTTTACAAATAGAGACGAGGTTCTCCCAAACTTCATAAAAGCTTATTGGGTGAGTTTAGTGGCTACACTCCATTAATATGAATGGTCTCAATCAACTTTTTAAAGGATAATGTCAGGTCCTTTTAGGTCATTTTTTTGTTAAAACGAGTTGAAAAAACTTTAAATATTTTTATACATGAAAATAGAATCCAAATATGAAATAATTATGTGTATTATATGTATATTTAGTATCATTTAAAGTAATATTGTAGAAAAAAATTTGATGTGGATTGCACCACTTTTGCGCTGATAGCCTCAATTATCTTTTTTATTTCTGTATGATTACTGTGATAAAATAATAAACGACCCTTTTATACACAGGTGTATAAAGTGATATAAATGCCTACATAAAGCTAAGTATACTCGTATAATTATTTAGGTACATAAGTAACTTATGTTATGAGGCATATCTCAAATCTATTACGTTTTTCATATCAGGTAATCAGTTAAAAGAACTTGTAACTTATCTTTTAGGTTTCGATTGTAAGAAAATAAATATATAAAATATTTTTTATATTTCACCGAGTTCAAATTAAGTATGTTAATTGATAATAATATTGTTTTTATCAGTTATTCTTTCATGTATGCATGTATACACGAAAATAATATTGCAGGTCTTCTTTAAAGTCAGCAATTTGAAATTTGTTCTCTATCTGCAGGAGCACGAGTAATAATGGCTTGTAGAGACACAACTAAAGCAGAGTCAGCAAAGAAAGAAATTGAAAACGCAAAGGAGGGTGTCGAGGGTATTGGAACTTTAGTAGTGGAGGAGTTAAATCTGTCACAACTAAAGTCGGTCAGAGAATTCGCTTTTCGAATTTTGGCCAAAGAGAGTAACATCAACATTCTCGTAAACAATGCGGGGGTGATGTGCTGCCCTGAAGGACGGACGGAAGACGGTTTTGAGACGCATATGGGGACCAACCACTTTGGACATGCTCTTCTCACGCTATTGCTCTTGCCCAGATTAAAGAAGAGTGCTCCTTCGAGGATAGTATTCGTATCATCATTGATGCATAAAAGTAAGTGGTTGTCCATGAAGTTAATTTTGTTGATAACATTCATGGGTATTTTTTAAAGAAATTGTAATGTGATTTCAGGCAATGATGTCGATTTAGACGACATAAATTTTGAAAAGAAACGTTATGATGCACTTGACGCCTATTCTAGAAGCAAAGGCGCAAACGTGCTCTACGCTAAAGCACTCGGCATTAAATTAAAGGTACATGATAAGAAATTCTATGGATGTAACAAGATGTGATTATATTTTTGCTAATGATCCTACTAATAACAGTTGTCCACATTTTCTTACCAATTACAAGTTTTTTTTTCTATAATATTGTTTGTTACTAAGTGCACAATCACTAGCTAAAATATAGTCGCACCTTGTTAAACCGGTATAAGTCTGTTTAAAATTAATGCTCCGCCACACACAGGCGGCCGCGGAAGCGTTCCGGGCGCGGGAATTTTTGTAATGTACGAGTTTATATGAATCCTGTCACACTAAAACGCGCGGCTGATGTGCGGCCGCCGCGCGTTTCAGTGTGTCAGGATTCATATGAACTTATACATTTAAAAAAATCCCGCGGCCGCCTCTGTGTCCCTTGAGCATAAACAAGATGTTTATGTTTTAAGAAACCATAACGCTACAATACAAAAGTGTGTACTACGTCAAATAGTGCTTGTTACGTTATTCATTATTTAATTAGGTACCAGTGATTATTAGGGTGTACGTTATTGCAGAAGGGTTCTGGCGGTTTCCTAAACAATGCTTAGTATGGACTTACCTAGCATGCTGCGAAGAAGGGTCCAATCCTTAACAAACCCCACACAATTTGTTCGAAAATTCTACGCTATCGATGGTTTATTTTCGTCATGTATGGTCGCGATATTAGTGGGACTTAATACCTAGAAAATAAAGATTACGCCAATTTTAGGAACACAACATAAATAACGTGATGACATATAGTCTCCACCCAGGGGTCATAAATACGGAGATCGGTAGGCACTTCAGCGACACCTTGTTGACCGGCGGCACGTGGCTGTTCAAGTACATCATTGGCTTTTTCGCGAAGACTCCTCGTTGCGGGGCACAAACTACAATCTACTGCTCAGTTGACGAAAGTTGTGCTGAGCAAAGCGGACTTTACTATGCGTAAGTACCTACAGGTGACCTTTATTGTTTGTGCTCATAAGAGAGAATAAAATGTCTATAGGCTGTATTAATACGATTTGTCTCTCTTCTGTATGCAAGAGTAGGTAAGTATTTACTTGAACAAATGCACTTTGTACTTCAGGTTATTCTAGCGCCTAAATGTATTTAAAATTGTTGATGTCACCTGGAATAAAATTGCTACATAGCAATAAGGCCGTCTATTGTGATAATCTTATTATGTTATGCCGGGTTCACGAGTTTTTCACTTGCTTGCGTTGGCTGGGTACACGGCATAGAAGTGCCTTCCGCGCAAGGCGTTCATGAGTTCTCCGCTTTGCGTTGCGGAGAGATTTGCGCACAAGCGCGGCGCCTTGCCTTTGATTTGGATGTAGTGGACGCCTGGACGCTGCTAGTCTGTGATTGGTCAGTGGTGCTGTCCTTCGCGAACGTTCCTTGTTGCTTGCGATATCAAGCTTGCTAGATATCAAACTCGCGCAACGCAAAGCGAGCGGCCGGCACAAGCGAGCGACTCGTGAACAATCCTACCTGCGCGTACGCGACAGATCTTTGCGTATGCGCGAAGCGAGTCACGCAAGCCAGAAAAACCGCAAGTGAAAGACTCGTGAACCCGGCATTATACTTTTAGTTACTGTTTTGTGTTGTGACTGTAATTTTATGTCCAAGATTCGTTCGTTCATTGTAATTGTTGCTACCTCTAACTCAACTTGGAAATCTGAGCTTCAGTAGAACTCATCTGTACTTTAAGTTTTCTGTAGGTACCTATTTGTTAGATTTCATGTCCTTCCAATGTCCAACCATTATATGTATATATAGCGGTTAATTTGACATCAATATTAATAGTGTCACTTGCCTACATGTAAAAACAAGGATAATGTTAATAATTTTGTATTACAAGTACAAGTATTTGTTTTCCTTTGACTAAATAACAATGTACATACATACTAATTAGGACTAATGCCATTAGAATTTTCCTGTGGAACGTTATACTGTATTGTTCCTCTTTGTGCGTCGCTCAAATGTTGTATATTTTCCACTCTATTCTTAGTGATAATTATTATTTAAATAAGATAATTATTACCACATATTTCTTAACAAATCGCTTAACTATGTTACCACATTTTTCAAATTCTAAACGGAAAATAGTAAAATACCGTTCACCACTAAAAAATCTCTGTTACAAAAATACAATGGAAATGGCATCTACGGCCCTCAATTACTTGGTAACCACCACATTTAATAGATTCACCATAGAGGCTCTACTAAGATATTTTGCGTTTTCAGTGATTGCAGAGTTGCACCAACTTCAAAGCAATGCAAGGATGAAGAAATACCGGCCAAGTTCTTTGATATCACAACGGAACTGTTGAAACTAAAAAAATACGATCCCTTCGGGGACAAGGATCCCGAACGGAGCTTGTTTGAAGAGTAATTAAACCTTTTTCTCACGTATTTTCTGTATGAGAGTGGGGGGAAAAAATCGGCATAATAAAAAGAAAAGTGAAGACTTAAAATGCCGCACCCTAGCCGTCTAGGGTGTGGCACTTTAAGTCTTCAGCGCGCAACAACTAAATGTAAAAACAGTTTTACTCGTGCTCACTAAAATGATATTATGAGCATTTCACAACTATTGGTCAAAATATAACAGGGAGATATTTATTCGCTTTTGAAGAACAGGTACATATTATTGCTTTACCTATAGAACTAAATGTTATATATACAATAAATAGAAATATAACACTCCGTGTCCTGCATAACAGAAGACATTTACAGGGAAATATTATCATAATTTGTATCTATTTCTCGCATTTTTACCTTAACACTATTTTTTTCTGATAGAATGAATTATTACGTGACGTAAGTTATTGCGGCGATAAAAAAAGTAAAAAATTTACGACCTTGAAATCAGTAATCGTGAGAAACGAATTTCGGTATAATATTATTAGCATAGATCGGTAATATGGACAGAGTACAGGTGCCTACAGATTTGCTCTTTTTTGACGATCGTTATTGTTACTTATTATTGTTAGCGGTCAACAAATATAATAAGCTAAATTTTAAAACTTCGTAATTCCTTTTTGGGCCAAATCCCCTTTTTGCTCTTTAAGTGCAATATCGGGCAATTAAAGCTTGAAATATAATTTCTAGACCCCATTTTAGTTATAAAATAAAGGTATAATCATAGATTGTCATATCATTTTATTTGTAAGTCAATGTTCTCGATCGTCTGTTTCTTACACATTTATTCGATTTTGTTTGATCATACGTGTCAATCGACAAAAAATACAACGTTGATAGTCTGTTGCTTCCATATTTACTCTTCTTGTTTGGTTGTGTCAATAGTGAAAAAATCCAGCAAATCTGTAGTTACCTTAAGGGTTTAATTAAAACCTTTGAAATGAAGTTCTCGTTTTGTTCATACACATCACAAATAAATAACAATTTTAACTTTTGCTTTATTACTACCTATTGTTATTATTTTATATGTGTCACTAGTACTTTACTGTAGTCTATTTTAGAATGAAAGTGTTGTAGTTGTAGGTAGAAATAAAACGCATAGCTTTATTTTTTATTCATTGCGGGACATTACACTCTATGTGTATTACTTATTAGATTAAATTTACGTAAAGATAATTGTTTTGCCTATTTCGACATCTGATTAGTAATTTATTTACTTCAGAGGACTAGCTGGAAGAGAGCGTAATATGTTTACTTGATATCGTGTACTTACGTGTGTCGCCTTTCAATTGTTAAAAATTGTTTGTGCCCTGTTATTCAAAATTTAAACTGACTTCAAAAAAGAAGGAGATTCTCAACTCGACTGTATTTTTTGTGTGTACTTATTTTAAGTGAGATTACTTTGATATTGTGCCCCTTTAAAATGAAAGTGGCCTTGTCTCGCGCGGGCCTCGGCCAGGGGTATTGCGCAATTAAGAAGAAGACTCGGTCCACACTGAATTTTATTATAGAAATAAAGAAAGAGAAGGTACAGGAAGGACCAGGTAAAGTAAAAGCGTAAAGGCTGTAACAAAACAAAATAACGATATAACACTGGTAGTACAATCATACAAAAAACACTCCCTACTTAAATTGCCTACATACAAGACATGGTAAAAAAGGAACTTACCCCAAATGGGTAACTTCCTTGGATGTTTTACAAATAGTTAAGTTACATGATTTTCAATGGTCAGAATTTCATATGAAGGCGAGCTCGGTGCTCGCTTTGGAAATTTAGTACAGTGGTAACCGGAAAGAAGAAAAGTAAGAATGACGAAGAAAAGGAATTAAAGGACGATTCAAAATTTCAAAAATAAGTGGCCAGGAACAAAGAGAAAAGGGTGAAATAAGGCTGGATGACGATGAAGAGGGTCGCATCGGCACAACCTAATTTAAAAAATTAAGAAAAGTAGTTCGTACTTTAAAACGACTTAAAAAATAAGTGCATAAGATTATTAATTTAAAAAGTAAGATTCTATGGGTCTTTTGTTTTTTTGTTTAAAATTTCACATTCATTTTGCGTATTCCCAAAAGGTTGAAATTTTGTGTTGGGTCATAATTAACTTTCATTCTGAAGGTGCGATTTGTGAACTGATTCTTTTTTTTTTTTGTTGAAAAGGGTCAAGAGCACGTCAAGCTTGACACTTAAGACTTAAATCCAACTCTGTGCCGCATACGATAAGAACAGTCCAAAGTGTCAGGCTTGATGTGCCCCTGACGTACTTACCTCAGTAGTGGTTCTATTCAAATTTGTATAAGATATTATTTGTTACATTGATCTAGATCTGATATTGGAAATAGCAGACAGATGAGAGGAACTCATCAACAATGTACAACAACTACCTTGTGTTTTTTTTGCTTCATAGCCCCGCAATATGAAATAAATAAATAAATATATATATATATATCGGTCGTTTTACGAGAATTTCCTTAAAATGCATTTTAGTTACCTATCTTCGAGGAGACCACGGTGAACACATTGAAAGCGGAGCTGCATTTTGCAGTGGTTTATTTTTTAATAATAAAGTAATAATTATAATTTGGTGGGTGAAAATTATGTCTCTGGGTGAGTGGATGTATAATTAGATACATTTTCTCATGTTGTTTTATGTTATGCACACAGCTAAATATTACACGAAAAGTAGAAAAATTACTCAACAAAATTTCTTCACAAGTGTGGTTATGTAGGATCTACGCTAAGCAGTGTTTAGAATGAGTAGTCAGCAAAAGTAACAACAAAGTAACATTTTGCACAACTGTTACCGCCGTTGTAATGAGAGAGGATGGGTGTTTTTTTACGAAGGAGAATAATGTGTGATTGGATTAGTAAATAAAAGAAAGTACCAAAGCAAGTACGTTCTTGTGCTTTTTATTTTCTGTCCGATTTTTTAAAGCACAAAGGTTTTATATCACGCACATCTTAGTTTATCACACTTCTTTGATACATTTAGGTACTGTCTACTTTTCATAAGCTATATAGAAACCGACGCAAATTCGTTAAGCGCTTTTAACTATTTTTTTTTTGTATCCAAGGAGCGCATCCAATAAGCGATGACGACGCGCTGGTTTGAGTATAGCTCTAACATTCAATGACCATTAAACTACAATAGATATATTTTGGAATTCTTATAAAGAAACATAGGATAATAAAGAAGTATTTAAGTTATCCAATATATGTGGTGAATATTACTAGGAATTATGTACACACAAAAGCAATGTGTAGGACACACAATGTTTTTCAAACATATAATCGGTATATGTTTTGTTTCGCACGTAACGGCGAATCGATATCACAACAAGGGTATGCATTCACAGCTAACATACACATATATTAGGCATAGCCGAATACTTATAAAGAGTTTTTCATAAATGCATTAAATAATATTAAATAAATACTTACACAGATAGTCTACAAAATAATGCTCATTTCATAATTAACTATGTACACAGCAACACCTATAAACAATTATAAATAACAACTTGTTTCAAATTTTGTAAATATGACTAGTTGGTGTATAACATTTTTCTAAAAATTTCATATGATGCATTTATAATACCCCAGCTTAAAAATGCTCGAGAAATATTTAGTAATGCTCCATGGTAGAAGTTTGCAAACTTGGAGCCTCGTGTCGCTAGAATATACCTGAACTCATAAGCCATTGACCTGTGGGGTCCACCTAACTCACACTGCATGCCAATTTTTATAACATTTAGAGGATAAAATATGGTACTTAGGAAAGCTCCTATAGATGCTCCTGCTATGAAATTTTGTATGCCTTGGTAAACTATGTAATCCTGGCGTGGCAGTCTGACAGTTATTTCATCACGGATAATGAAAAAACACGCATTTGAGGGACCATTTCTTAGAAGTATTGGCACAAGTCCTCTATAGAATTCTTTTATACCATAATGTTTAGCTATATGGAGGGAAGCATCTGCTGTGTTCTTAAATTGTTTATGGAACTTGGGATGTATAAGAAGGGTCTGTACTCTTTCAAAAGGCATGAGTGTGGCCTCAACGCAGCCTGCAACAATGCCTGCAATTGATTTGGCTACAAAAGGATTAGTTTTATAACTGAGTAGGGGTTGCAAACATTCATCATAGATACCGAACATCAAGGACATTGACACTGTCCGCTGCATGAGGGGAGGCAGCATTCCTCGGTAGAGATAAGACAGACCTTCTTTCTGCAACTGATTTAAAGCTAATGATGTTTCAACTCCATGCATCATCTGAAAATGAATATACATTTAGTTAAATAACAAAAATTAACATGTATCAGACACATTGTTTTACTTACAAATTGGCAAATAATAAGAAAGTTACAAGTAGTCTTACCTGCCTGAATATGAGCTTATTGAGAGGGTAGCTAATCATAATATTGCAAAAGGCTGCACCCCCCCCACAAACAAATTCTTTCCATCGCACTGACAAACCGTGACTGGGCACTGGCACTGCCATGGTTCCTTGCTTTAGATAACTTCTATCAAACAAGGTTTCACACATTTTATCCTCAGGGGGACAATTTGACATCTCTTCTTTTACACCTTTGTCTAAAAGTCATAAAAAACAATATTATATGTATTATATATAATATATGCAAGTAAGAATACATAATTACTAATTACATAGATGTACATTGACGGTAATGTGTATGATTCCATCAGCACAGAAATACTATTACTTCCAGTGTGACAAATATCGTTTCTTTAACCTATACTATATTCATATTAAAATGGGTATTAAAAATACGTATTATATTACTTACGTATGTATCTAGGCCATGGTGTTTGTTTTCGACCTCCACCAAATTATGTAAAACCCCAAAATTTAAATTATTTGTTGGTCTGATAAGAAGCTGCATCGGAACTTATTTATTGTCATTTATCGAAATGTTATGATGCACGAAATAGTTTTAATAGCGTAAATATTGGCATTTCAATCTAAATTTGATAGATTATTTGAAAATATTAAAAATCACAATTTCAATAGGCACACGACACACACTTAATCTGACAGGACGACAGCACGACCCGACTGATGACAGTGACATTATTGACATCAAACAAATATATTTTTTTACTGAAGTTGAAGAGAGAAATCAAAACGCCTATTATAATATACTACTACACCAGAAATATAAATCTGTGTCCCAGGGGTGGGCGTTGCCCTTAATTATGAGCCCCGTTATGGCGCCCGACATAGTGACCCTTTAGGGTGGTATTCCACCGGGCGGCGAGGCGAGTCGAGGATTGAAATTTGTATATCAAAATTTCAATTATCTTCTAGCGCATCTTCACTGGAAATTGTCTGAATTGACAAGGATGAGCGAGGCGAGAACTGAAATATTTATTGATGTAATATTGAACAGTATTGCTATCTGCATAGAGTAATATACAATACTCTACGTTACAGAATTTAATACAACGGAAATCGATTTCTCGAGCGAGCTCACGATGATGGCTATTAATATCACTCGCGAGATTGTGGGGTACCGTCGCGATGAATGAAATATAGGGGCCTTAATCCCTTATTTTCATTACACTCCTATTGGCGAGTGGTCTGTATATTGAGATGTGCACTATAATGGAAACCTTTGGCAAGTTAAACATGTTTAATGAAACCGATAGAATTACAATGTTAAAAATAAACCGAACCAGATAGCGAAGAAAAAGCAACTATCAAAATTTGAAAAACAAAAACAGACGAAAAGTGAGATCATACTTCATAAAAGGAATTTAAAATACACTACAATTATTATAAAGGGAGCTGCATCACAGCTGATCGCTAACACCCATAACACCTTCTTATTTTAGAATTAGGTTATTTAGGTGTTAGTTATTTTAGTATTTCATTCAAATCGGGTAGTGTAATAATCGTTATAGTAATGAGAACCCACAGGATTGTAAGGTCAACTACCTTGGTGGAGTTGCGTCTTTTGCGTCTAAAAATAGATTTTTTCAATTGAAATTTGTTATAAATGGAATTATACTAAATTAGCCTTAGCATAAGAAATTAGCCGTTCTACCCACGATTTTAGACAGAAATGGGTTACAACCCGCCCGCCGTTTAAGATAAAAAACCAAGCGAGTCGATTGGATTTTAGTGCGGGAATACACGTCCGATTTTTCCACCTGATAGTCGGATCCGAATGCCGGAAGACGCTCGTACCATATAATTGTGTGAACACTCAATACACGTCCGATCGGATTATCGGATCGTGACGTCACGTCCGAGTCGGAAATAGCATCCGACTTTATTACCGGTCAGATTGTCTGAAGGCGCGCTCTCTATACTTTTGCGGGAAGACGAAATACTCGTCCGATTCTTCCCTCCGATTTGCAGCGTTGCCAATGCAAATTATTCAAAATCCCCAAAAATCAAGGTTATAAATTTGGGGAGAGCAAAGGTCATATTCCCATATGTAACAATATTTATTCATTCTCAGTATTTATTCTATTATTATTGTTACCTTAAAAATATATCAAATAATTAAGAAAGACAAAATGTGCCTATCTACACATAATGTTATGCTATAATTAGAAATAAACTCAACAAGCTTGACGAGTGGTAAGTTGTGGTATTAAGGTCTATCCACAGATATCTGAGACGTGGACGGGCCGTGCTCCGTTAGGGGCTCAAAAAATATCAGCGCCGGGACGGGCCCGCACTTCATACAAACTAGCGCACCCCGTCCACGTCTCGGGCACGGCTCTGATGTGTGTGGATAGTCCTTTAAAATCGCCTCTTCTCAGCTTTGTTCGGCAACAGCTGTATTTTTTTTTTACACCGGGGACTGGTAAAAACGCGAGGAAAGGTCGCGCGCTCAACACGCACCGACTGATCATCATAATCCTATTTAAGAGTCAGGCTCTTGTCGGTGACTGATAATAGTAGTAATTTAACAATACAAGATAAAGTGATTCTAATCCTACTGTATAATTTTATACATATAAGCGGTTTGCTAATAATTCTATATAAACGTTGCTATATAAGCAGTGCAAGTGCGATGTTGAGAAAAATATCAATATCGTTCATAAACAAACAAATAATGTTTTTGTCAGTGATCATCAATGTAACGAGAATATGATAAAATTCTAGAATGCGAGGGCATTTTTCCCACATAGCGTAATCCAAACAATATATACAGCGTGTCCCAAAATTCAACGATAAGCGGGCGCTGGAGGGT